GACCTTTGTTCATAGGAGTGTTGGAATGTTTTGCTAATATGCACTCTTCACAAAAGCTTGAAGGTGACTCAGATACTGGCAAACCCATTTCTTTTAATATTTTATCAGATGAGTGCCCCATGCGCCTGTGCCATAATTCTGCACTATGATTTGCAATGTATGTTGAAGCTTTAACAGGTTCAAATTGACTCACATACTGTCCTTTCTCATTGAGTTTAGCAAACTCAAATTTTTCATTCCTCTTTTCAATAACAGCTACATCATTCTTAAAAATTACACTGTAACCTGCTTTTTGAATATTCTTCACAGATATTAATTGACCGTTCAACTCAGGCACATATAACACATCTTTAAGTAATATTTCTCTTCCATTTAATGTTCCAGGTACTGTACCAATACCTTCTACCTTTAAAACATCATTTTTCGAAGCACATGCAACAGTTCCAGAAAAAGGTTTAATTTCTTCAAACCACTCACCTTTATTACACATGTGTGTAGATGCTCCAGAATCCAGAATGAAATTTCCAGCAGGCTCGCCAACCATGAATGTTACTGCAGCCGATTCTCTATAATCTGATTTATGCTTAAATCTGCAATCCTTCCTGTAATGCCCTGGGCGTCCACATCCAAAACAAACTAATTTTTTTTTTGCAAAGCTTGGCAATATGACCTTTACTTTTACATTTGTGGCAGATGATATCACGCTTATCAGCGCTAAAAGCTACGTTATTACTTGAGCCAGAAATACGAGAATCGTAAGAATTTCTCTCACCTTGCAATTCTTCAGCATTCAAGAGCCTTTGCATAACAAAGTCCAGCGTAAGCATTTCATTTGGCTGGTTCTCAATCGTCGATTTAATAATGTCGTACTCAGAAGGTAGCGACATCAACAAATAAATAATCACATCCATATCTTTGACTTCAGCACCCGAGAGCCGCAGTTCATTTACGATCGCCAACAGTTCGTTTAATATGTGACTGCATACTGCAATCTCGGCGTTTCTTCAGTGTCGATAATTTCTTTCGTACTAATATTTGACTAACTGCACTCACCTTATGGTATTTATTCTTTAAACTGCTCCAAATTTCACATGCAGAAGATTCACTCGACATGGTCGCCAATATGGCATCATCTAGAAGGGTTAGCAGCAATGCGTAAGCCTTTTTTGCATCTTTGATTTCAGCAACTTTCGTTTCATCCGCTTCAACGTCTAAATATTTATCAAGTTCTTTGGCTGCAAACACAGCTTCCAACACGGCGCTTAAACAGAGAAAAGTTTTTACCATGGCTCAACACAATACTTTGTGTTCTCATCACGTGCTGCCATTTCAAATTTCACTTAACGCGCGATTTCATTCCAAACAAATAAGTTCACAAAACAAATATAAATGCTTCACCTTGAGCATGTTCAATATCAGAACCACGTTCTGTTGTAAAGATTAAAAATAAGGTGAATCAGAGGCCAATGATAATTAAGTAGAGGCTTTATTAAATGTTGGAATTTCACATACATGGAACAGCACGTTTCTACATATCACACCATGACACAAGAACACTACTACAACTGTTGCCAGATCAACCTAAGCAAAAGTATAAAACAGTTACGGTTAAAACACATGACATTAAATAAGAAACCGGGGAGTACGTGTGATTATTCTCAACACATTTTGAGACAAATCTTTGTTAGAACCTTGAGAAGGAATCTATATCTAGCCAAAATGTTTAAGGCTAAATTAATAGATGAATATTTTGTTGAGTGTTGTTACAAACATAAATGTTTTGTAGCTTTTAATGTGTAATTATCCTAATATCGTTTAAGAATCAATGTCATAAATTATATGTATTTTAAACTGTGAAATTTTATTAGATTTTGATTTTTATAGGGCTTTTTTTTAACAAATATTGTTATTTTTTTAAACAAATATTGTTAAAAAATAAAATTTAATAGTGGCCATGTAAATCCATAATGACTAAGTTTATCAAACTACCTAATTTAATTATTTATAACTAACTGCATACCCTTAAAAATTATCTCTACATATTAAAGCGAGTTACTGCCTTTCAATAATACTGTGGTCCCAAGATAAAATACAAAAATGTAAAAATTCAAGTAAAACTTATTCTTTGAATCTAGTGAGACTTAATACAAAACAACTTATCCCCTCTGGTGCTTTAATGACTTATTGGAACCTTAAAGTATATTAACCGGGTTACAACCCCTGAAACTCTACACGAAGCTACGACACTAACTGCATAAAACAGAGCCTGACTAACTTTCAACACTTGCCAACCATGCCTGTATCAGGCCTTTCAGGTTTGTTCCTATCAGCAAGTTTCTCTCTAGGCAAGCAGCAGCAGTGACAACGTTCAGTCTTTCTTTATGAATCATGCTGATTATGATCTTACTTCTCATTTTAACCTATATTTTTTGACATTAAATCTGCCTGCTATTTACTAAACCTCCAGACTGACGAAGTATGTGACAAAAAAATAATAAATAAATAAAGCTAACTGTTAGTAAAATGTAAATGTCACTTATCTTTCAAATGTGTCCAGCTATTATAAGTGTAAAATATTTAATGCTACTTGATAAATTGCATAAAGTATACTTTATTCTCAAACTTATTAAAATTATGTTAATTCATGTTTAGTAATAATGCATACTACTTAGGGATCTATTTTATTTTTAGGATGGTATTACAAAAGTGAAATTTAGCTATAGATAATATTTTTAGTTGAATTTATTCGGTTCCCATTTGCTCATAGGTCCTTAATTTTTTTCATGAATGGGCCTTAAAAGTACCTAATTTCTCTGTGCAGAAATGTGCACGAACCCTGAATCACGTAAAAAAGTCACTTAAAATGAATTTAAAATATGCCACAACAGAAATGAGCCCAAAGAAGTGGTACAATAATATGGTCAGATCTAGAGGATAAAAGTGGATAAAGGGAGCAGTTAGGAGAGAGAATGGCAATTTTGACTCTAAAAGTTCACTTGCAAGCAAAATTTATGGTGTAACAAATATCATAAATGGAGATCCTTGCTGATAAAACAGATATCCTAGCTGATAAAACAGAGAAAAAAAAAAAAAAAAAACTGTGCATACTAGAACAACAGTTGGGCAGCAGTTGCCAATATACTGAGAGGATAAGAAAGCATCTTTTCTAAAATATATGACAGATATTATTTACGAGAGAAAACAATTCTTCCATTACAGATAGTAAATTTGGATGAAACACTCCTCTGCAAACAGAACTGTTGATGAAATTGGGCAAAAACTGTATCCATGCTTATGACAGGATATGAAAGAACTTCATGTAAATGTTTATTAGCTTGTGCTGACAGGTTAAAGGTAATGATAATATTTAAAATGAAAACTATGGATGGATGTGTGAAACAATCGTACATTAGTGGCTACAAACAGTTTGACAGTATCTTAAGGGATTTTTTCTTTTTCAATCAAAAACATTGTTGATAATGGATTCCATGCAAAATCAGACGTCCAAAATTGTCTACAACCTTAGCAATAACCCCTGGTGTCTTGACAAAAATCTTACAGTCCTTAGATTTATTTAATCTATTTAGATGAGTCCTAATTTAATTTATTTTGATGATGTCCTTAAATTTATTTAGATGAGTGAAGGATTACACTCTTATACCAAAAGCACAAAATGTGTAGAGCATTAGATGAAAAAGTTGCAAAATGGGTAAGAAGTGTGTGAAAATTGTTGAAAATATAGTCAATAATATCAGGATTCAAAGAAGCTGAAATTATATCTCCAGATAAAGAGACTGTAGAAAAAAGCGAATGAATGTGATGGTATGGCAGACTTGGACTATTTAAATCGGGATAATGCTAAGTCTTTTAATTCGGATAGTAAAGAATAAGATTTTGATGGCTTCATATAATGTACGGTTTTCTGTAGTTATTTTTACTAGCAAAATTTGAAATTTTCTTTTCATTCAATTTAATATATCATTGTTGCTATATTTTATAACATGCTATGAGTATTATATATATTGACTCTAGTTTGTAAATATAAATACATTCTGAACATAACTGTATTTTCAGCATTTCTCACCTATAATTTATTTTTGATTCGTGGTTTCATTTCATCGATTTTTCTTAACGTATATGTCATATATCATAAGTCAAAATTTTTTAAGTGTGATGTTCATTGTGATGCCATGCACAGTTTAACTTTATATGACTTTTATGCTGATGCAGCATTTTTGTACAATTTTTTTTTTTTATTGCGCTGTTTGTCTTGACTGTGGTCTTTTCCCCAGAAGTTGTGGTAGTTGTCTCTTGTAATGAATTGTGCAGATTGCCTAACCTGATTACAAGATTTTTGATGGCTTCTTAATGTTGAATTCCAAGCTTAAAAAATTTATTAAGTTTGCCTTTTTGACAGTAACTTTTAAGAAAAACCAGCCACTAATTATAATGGACTACCATTGATATTAAGAAAAAAATTAAGTTGTAGAAATAAAAATTGCCAAGCATTTCTGTTTGAAGGTAAAATAAATTTATTAAACTGTTGCTTATAATGCATGAAGGTGAAACTTATCTGAAAGTCCTCGCAAATTTTTAAGGTTTAGATTAATTAGTAATTATGATAAGCTGTTTTTTAGTTATGAAGACACACTGAAGAAATGTCCAGTATAAAATGGCTGTCATTTTCATGGAGAAGTTTTGAAGGAAAACTGGCTCATATTCATGTTTATGCACAGGGAAAATTTCATACAGGCAGTGCATTGAGTTGTCAGACTTGAGATAAATTTTTATCCAGTATTCTATTCAGTATTTTTATCCTGTCAAATACTGGCAGGGCAGTGATAAATGAAAAAATCATGAGTGTAATTAGTTTATCATGGCCTATGTGTAATGTTATTAACAATTGATGAAAATATATGTTTTGTTTAGCTGTGATATATACTAATCTTTGTATTGTGAATAAATTATATTCTAGTTATTTTTATTTAAACTTCCAACAGGGGTTGTTCCTTTTTAAGTAAATGTATACAAGCAGAGCGCTCTGGTGTTTTAGCAGTGATAATTTGTGATAATGATATTTCCAATGATGATCAGTACATTGATATGATAGATGATAGTACCAAAAGGAACTGTAGTATACCAGCTGTATTTCTTTTGGGAAAAGATGGGTAAGTAAGAATTTATAATATATGCAAATCATTGATGTTGATTTTTTAAGATAATATATTTATTTGTTTCTAATATACGATACCCACCATTTATTTAAATCACTTCTGTTCTAAGCATATTTGAGTTTATTAAGTTTCAATTTGCGTACTTCAAATTGCAATAATAGTTTTAAACTTTTCCCAAGGAAAATTATAAATAATAGTTAATTCATCAATTAATCCAAAAAGAATTATTAAAAATTAATATTAAAATTAAATATTTACACAATTTTGAAATTCTTTTTCAAATATAGTGTAAAAGTATTTTTACAAATATGTTCCTGATGAAGTACAATCTGTAACAAACAGATATTTGGTATGCGTTTGTTTCATATCGTTCAACAACAGTGTATCAGTTGCATTCTCAGTTTTGTAAAACTGCTGATAGCTTTCCTGATCACCATCTTTCAGTTCAAGAATTCTTAGAATTTGCAGTGTTTTTCGATTGATAATGTCAACACTTTCATGGTCAGTTTCTGCAGTTAACACATTGAGTGCTGCACATATTTCTTAGGCAATACCATTCAGGCCACGCACACCACTTAAAAGCGTAGGTATTTTAGGGCCAGTAGAAGATAGTTTATGTTTGGAACGCGATTCCTATAGACATTCATTCAACACGTTACGTGCCAAGTCTGTTTTGTAAATAGTTACATTCTATACAAAGATGTTACGAAGCAGAAAATTGGCATTACTGAATTCTGGAATGAATTAGCGCTATCCCTTACAAGTTGTGCAAAAGAAGACATTCAATAGAACAGGAATGCAGGAATATGTAAAAAACAACATCATAAACTCCAAAGAAAACCAGGAAAAGCCTCTGAAGTATGGAAATATTGTAAATTATGTTTAATAAAAATGCAACGGTAGCTGGTAGAGTAATGGCCAGAAAAAAAGACTAAGAAAGTTGTCATATTTTGCAGTAGCTGTAATGGAGAACCGTTTTTATGTTTACCGTGTTTCAATGAAATCCATTAGTCCTATAATGAATCAAAATTAAGTAAATTTTAAATAAATTTTCTGTAATTCCATAAAACAGTGTAAATGTTATATATCATGTTACACGCTATCAGCCAGCGGCGGTCGACGCCGCCTAAACGGAAAATCTCAATGTGTTGTGGCACTCAACGTGTTAACACTAATAGTCAGTTTTTATACACATTGTATAATGACATTCGAAAGCTTTTATAATACCCTAAAATTAAGAACTGAATTTTGAAAGTTGTATTTGCAGAAAGAGACACTAATGTTTTCAGAAAGAGATGTGTGTGTTGCACAGTTATCTAAATAGTAAAGCTGTTTTTTTTTCATTTTTCAGTTCAGTGTGCCATTTCAAAATAAAATTAGTAAAACAACTGTTAGTCATCTATGAATTCTTGCTGTTATGGTAAGTTAGAAGTAAATTCTTGATTCCTTTCAAACATCAAGGGTTTCTGCTTTTGTCAGTAACTACTTCTGTCTTTTTATGGCTTCATATTGCATGTTTATAAAACAGTTGCTTATTCCTTCAGTTTCTTAAACCAACTGCTGTGTCACTTTTAGAGATCAATGTGTGTTCTGGTAATGTTTTGTTGTACAGTTCAGTTTTGTCTGTGTTATAATTGCGAGTGGCTTGCATTGATTTAATAGCCCAAGAAAATGTCTTTTATACAGTTATCAGCTGTGTGATGATCCACTTTTTCCTCTTCACCATGCAGTTTCTAATGAATAATATTGGATTTCTGTTTCTCCAAGCTGTAGAAGCTTGTTAGCTTTTTTAGCATTATAATTTGAAACCATTCTAAAAAAGCAGTTTCAGCATCTGTCACTTTTCTGTCTCTTTTGCGCTTCTGTGAGACATTTTCATTTATCAGTTCTTATTAATTCCTTGTTTAAATAAACTGCACAATGCTGTTTGGGAAATTCCAAATTTAAATGCAGTTTTTTCCTCTGGCTTCAATTACCAAGAACATGAAAATCTTTTCGTAATTTATCTTTTTCTTTCAGGCTTGTCTTTTTGTTTGGCCATTCAGCAAGTTAATTACACAACAAATTTTAAAAAATACTTCTTCCAGTGATTTATTCAAATTTCAAAATCCTAGCCAGCAGAAAGATTGTTTTTTGTCTATTTAGTCCATCTGCTACTTCATGATTACAAGCATGACGATGCTTTTGCTTTTCTTCACTCTACAGCTACCACTTCCTTTCCATTCACTCTTAATGTATGGTAATGCTTAAAAGCATTTCAGTTTTTTCTTAAAACGGTAAACATGATTTATCTACCTCAAGTAAATGATTTAAGAGCGAAATCTTAAGCTATGGGATACAAAAGTTGCACTTTCTCCTCATATCACGTGGTATTCAAGAAGGAACCATCACCCATTTACAGTGCCTCTAGAGAACTGCTTTTGTTAACTTTAAGATAAGGAAATTCTGTTCCTAATAAGCAAGTGTGCACAAAGAACTCTGGAAAACGTTCTTACGTGTACAGTGTGGGGGGGGCAGGTAAATATCGATCAAACCCATTTATTGAAGCACTACATACCTGAATGATAAAGCCACAGTCCACAACACGTAAAATGGGAAAACTGTGAAAAGTGTAATAGGTAGACGTAGGGTATTCTGGTGCTGAAGAATGCTATATATGTTCACTCGTCAAACATAGATGTCACCATTCCTAGAAATCACTGCAAGTCTTCTCGGCCTTTTGGTTCTGCAAACTTTTCAATCACTTGGATCTTCTTTGGATCAGGTGCAATGCCTTTATCAGACAGTACATGTCCTAAATAAGTCACAGAGGTCCGAGATAGCTGTGTCTTCTTGATGTTAAATTTTAGATTAGCACTTCTGGCTATCGTAAGTCACAGAGGTCCGAGATAGCTGTGTCTTCTTGATGTTAAATTTTAGATTAGCACTTTTGGCTATCGTAAGTGTCTTCCGCAACAACTTGCAATGTTCTTCGACAGACAACGATCCTAGGACTAAATAATCAAAATATGGATTTATCTCGTTCCCATTGCTAAAAATTTCCTCCATGGCCCTTTGAAATTCCTCAGGTGCATTGTTCATATTGAAAGGAAGAACTAAAAATCTGAATCTTCCCCAGGGCGTTGTAAATGTTGTCAAGTACGATGACTCCTCATCAAGCGGTAGTTGCCAAAATCCATTCTTGGCATCCAAAATGGTAAATATTTTACATCCTTGGAGTTTTGTCATAAGGACTTCTGCTGTAGGGATTGGATAATGAGGTCTTTGAATAGCCTCATTAAGCTGCCTTGGATCTAAACAAATTCGGTGCTGCAACGTGAGGTGCGACATTTTCTTTTATTTTTGTCTTTACTGTGCGATTTAGTTTTCCCACACCAGTAAACACATCTGCAAATTTGCTCAATATCACTTGCTCTGGTGTCTCTTCATTTTGTTTCTTTTCTTACTTGACATGATACACTCTTTCAATCAGATCCAAGTCTTGGCAAGCCTGAAGACCCAAAATAGGAGATGATTCCAGAGTGGTTACTAGAAATTTGAGAGTTTTTGTCAATTTTTTAATTTTACATGTAAGGTAGCACTCACCTAATATTGGTACTTACTATAATCCAGTATTGGTTGTTTATTTTTCTTAATTATTGGTTTCTCACTCCACTTTAACAATTCACTCTTGGGTATAATGTTAACTTGAGCTCCAGTATCTAATTTGAAGTTCACTTCGTTCTTATTTACAGTGATCTTTTGGTACCAGTCTGATGCTTTATTTGAATCCACTGCGTCAACAGTTTTTACTTCCCCTAGGTAAATAAACTCCGAGTCGCTATCTTCCGTACGTTCAACGGCGTGCACTCTCTGTTTTGGTTTGGCGCGACACATTTTCGCCCAGTGATTTTTCCCACCGAACTTTCGGCAGACCGTTCCGAATGCAGCGCACTTCTTTGGCTCATGTTTTCTTCCACATCGCTTGTGCTCTTTTACTTGCATTATCTGCGTGGGATTGGATCCATGTTTGTTTTTCTGAGAGTGTCTACGGAGATTTTGTTCTCGTTCATTTCAGTTGCTTGTGCTATGCTATGTTCCGCTGGCTTGCATTCACTGATGATATTCTGCAGCGTCTTTTTCACTCTATTTGTCTCTCATATTAGCCATTCTTGTAATGTTTTATCTGAGATGCCTTGCACTATTTTATCATGGAGCATTCTATCTTGCGCTTGCCCATAGTTGCAATCTACTATTGCACATCATAGCCTTGAGTAAAAGTCCATGAATTTCTCTCCTTTCTCTTGCTTTATTTCGAGAAACTTGAATGATGCATAAACCTCATTCTGATAATCTGCAAAATATTTGTCAAATTCTTGTAGCACTTGTTTCAAGGACACTTCACTGCCGCCTGCTTCTGGCTTCAAATCAAACGATCGATATTGCTTTTTTAATTCATCACCACAAACATGTCGAAAAAGCGCAGTTTTTGTGCTTTCCGACTCTTGACGATATCTTAATGCCTCGATATAGTCCTCGAAGTCTTCCTTCCAGTGTCTCCAAGCTTCAGAAGGGTTCGATCCAGCGTCAAACGGTGACAACGTGGGCAGGTTATGCGCCATTTTTGATTCCAAGTTTTTCAAATGCACGTAATCCTTAAAAAATCAATTTATGCATTAAATTTGTGAGCATGGTTTACTCTGACACCATGTTATATATGTTGACTCGTCAAACATAGATAAATTACTGTTTATTTATAAGATAAAATTATATTACTTTATACATAAGAGAGACATTGATGCTACATGGTTGGCGGCAAGTGACGAGAGTGTGACGCAGCAAAAATACCGTGCAGTAGCTAGTCAGGTTAGAGGCACTGCCATCTATCGGCAAGCAAAGTAATTAATATCTAACAAAGAACTGGGTCTTTTTCCTAGTCGAGTTTAATAAACGACAGTTTTTTCATTAATTATTATGTATTTGTAGTGTTTTCTGGAAATTTCAGTATACTAAGC